ACACTGAATGACAGACTTAAAGAACACAAGAGAAGTGTTAAGTCTGCAGACACTAACAATGCTCTCTTCTGCCATGTGAGGGATTCTAATCATCCCATTGATAGGTCTTCCTCCAAAATAATCTTTCCTGCCTCTACTCTACACAGACGCCGTCTTGTAGAATCGGCTCTTATACACAATGTACCCAACATGAACTTGAGTCCCTTTGACTCTTCCCTTTCACAGTATATACTCAAATGCTCTAATCTTTCTAACAAACGTGACTTAAGATAAGCTTACCCCTTCCATTTATCTTTCTTTCTCTTTCCTTTTCTTTCTCTCTTCTCCCCTTTTTCTGTTCATTGTCTTCTCCTACGCTCCCTTGCTATCCTCTTCTTATTCCTATTACTATCTCCTTCGGTGGTTATAATAGGAGATGCCTCGTATGGGCTAATAGGCCTTCTGCAGTTCTCATTATTACTACTATCCCCTACACCTTACTTTCCTCCTCAGCTCTCTCTTGCCTATTTATTGCCTGCCTCTACCTCCTCATCACAATCGACTTGAGAATGGTCCAGGACGGACCGAAACGTCGTCGTCCCTTCAATTTCTAGTGTGTGGTCTGGTCAATATACTTCAGCCACGTTATTGTGACTCATTGCCTGTATATGAAATGCAAATTTCTAGGTGAGCTCCAGAGACTCCCTAAAGCTATCATACACTGGAAAATATTGGAGTGACAGGTAAGCTTCTAACATGGATGAAAAATTTTCAGACTGACAGAAAATTGATTGCAGTAATCAGAGGCAATGTATCGGACTGGAGAAATGTCACAAGTGGAGTACCACAGGGTTCAGTTCTTGCACCAGTGATATTTATTGTCTACATAAATGTTCTACCAGTTGGTATACAGAATTATATGAACATGTTTGCTGATGATGCTAAGATAATAGGAAGGATAAGAAACTTAGATGAGTGTCATGCCCTTCAAGATGACCTGGACAAAATAAGTATCTGGAGCACCACTTGGCAAATAGAATTTAATGTTAATAAATGCCATGTTATGGAATGTGGAATAGGAGAACATAGACCCCACACAACCTATATATTATGTGAGAAATCTTTAAAGAATTCTGATAAAGAAAGATCTAGGGGTTCTGGATAGAAAACTATCACCTGAGGACCACATAAAGAATATCGTGCGAGGAGCCTATGCCACACTTTCTAACTTCAGAATTGCTTTTAAATACATGGATGGCGATATACTAAAGAAATGTAGCCAAGACTGGCTACATTTGTGATTTTGAAATTTATTCTGGAATTGGGAAAACGACGATTGAAACCGTAATGGGCTTGATTGAACCCCTGAAGAACAAAGGTTCCCATTTATATATGGACAACTATTATAACTCGGTCCGATTGAGTGAAGCGCTGCTTGAAGTAGGGGTATACACCTGTGGTACCATCAGAATGCAGCGTGGTGCACCTAAAACCCTTCAGATGCAAGCATAGGGTAAAGTGCCAGTAGATTAAACTTTATTCAAACGCAAGGACAATACTTTCATAATTTTGTGGAAAGATAAACGAATTGTTTCACTCATAACAACTTGCCACAATGCAGATACACAACAGGTTGACCACAGAAAACGAGTACGGAATCGTGATGGAACATCCTCAGTGAAACAGGTAACTGTCAACAAGCCGAATGCAATCTGTGACTACAATACAAACATGAAAGGTGTTGATCACTTTGACCAAATGGTCAAATATTATCACTTCACAAGGAAAAGTAACAAATGGACAAAAAAAATTACCTTCTATTTTTTGCAAATCGTTATCCACAATGCTTATGTAATGTACAACTACTACACAACAGATAGAAGGAAACTGACATTACTCCATTTCCATGAACAAGTCATTGCGGCCCTATTGTTCTATAAGGCTAGTAACTGGCCTCAGGAAAATGATGACATCCCACATGCTGCTGATGTTAATGCCACTGAAGCCAATGTTGCAACACCTGAACCATCAACACCCAGACCTCCAACAGCAGGACCTTCAGGTGTGAGGCGCCCACTATTCACTTCACCTGTACCTGCAGATTTACCTTCATCGTCTGAGTCAGAAGACAATGCTGTGATTATCCCTAGTGGTGCTTCTGCTAGAACAAAACCCCCGTATTGTGGATAATCCAGAATGCCTCAACAGAAACTTGTCCCATACCCAAGTAAAGATACAGAAGTGTCTGAGGTGCCGCGTGTGTGCAGAATGTCAGGTAAAATGAAGGACACACACTATAAGTGCAAGACGTGTGATGTGGCATTGTGTCCTGCACCATGCTACAGCAAATACCATCGAAAGAGAAAATTCTGGGCCGATAAGCAGTAATGCTTGCCCACCATCTACTCCACCTATACAAAACATGGGTTGAACCGGCATGAAACATTTTCCAAGAGCAGGTGGAGTGGATAAAACAAATGTTCAACCCATGTCATGTTCAACACACAACACTGAAGTGGTAAGTACAAAAAATTGTATTATTTTGTATATTTTTTTTTTGTTTATACTTCCGCATATTGTACTGCAGCCCGTCCTCCAAAAATGGGGTGGTAAATGTAAGGAGACAAATAAGTGCAATTATGTACTATTCATAGCAGTTAGAAATTGTACTTATTTTCACTTAGTATTAAATCGTACTGTCAAATATATTGTGAATATTTGAGTTTACCTTAAAAACTGAATAGAAAACCACAACCTCACCTAACCGTCTTAGTTTTTGAAGATAATAATTTTATTGCTTCTTAATTACAATTAGTACTTAACCTATAGCTATATTGATATTACAGTTTTATAAAACTAATAAAACAAAACTAAAATATATCAATAAATTGTAAAGTAACTAAGGATATTTTAAAATTTTGTATAAAATCTATATTGTTTAATAAACCTGAAAAAGAAATTCTTGATATTTAAAACTTGTGTATTGCTAATTGAAATTGAAAACTGCATCCTAAAATTCTGAGTGTCTTAACAGAAAACGAGGAGAATTAAATCGGGGGAGGGAGTTGGGTAAATGTAACAGCCCCATAAGTGCAATTATGCACTGGTTATGACAGTACGAAAGTGTACTTATTACACTTAGTATTAAATTGTACTGTCAATTCGGAGGATGGGTTGTGTACTGGCAATATTGTTCTTCAATTAGCCCTTATATGCACATATCCATCTAAAGCATTCTATTAGGAACAATTTCATACCTAAATGAGCGCTGTAACACGAAAATTGAGATTAGCCACCGGTAAAAATACTAAACATTTGTGGGCAGGAATTGGGAGTGTAGCTGGAAGGCGTTTGGGCGCTCCCTCCCGGCTAATGCATGGCCCGTCTTCAACTTGTCGGCGGCTGGAGTGTGACCCGGTTTTTTATTTTATATGCTAATATTCCTCTAGAGAATTCTATTGCGAACCCATTGGTACCAAAATGAAAGACCTAGGACGAAAATTGAGGTGACCAGAGTGAAAAGAGTGAACACATTTATCGCTTTTGCACGCTCCTGGGTAACTCGTTCTCACTTTCTCTGTTTGATGCGGGTAATTAGCCAGGCTTTTGGAGTTTATATGCATTTAGTGGTCTAGAGAATTCTATTGCGAACACAATGATACCAAATTTAATCTCTTAGAACGAGAATTGAGGTGACACAGTTGAAAACAATATACACTCTTCAGAATTAACGAGTGCTCCCACGAAACGCTGAGGCCCACTGGACCTAGTTGAGGGCTGGCGCGCCGGATGTGCGAAAGTGTTAATTAATTTCTTCAACCGAGGTACCCCTGTACTAGGAGCTTGCCATCATCTAAGGGTAACACATTGGTCGCTTACTCCCTAGTTTCAATTTATACTGTTGCACATATGGTGCTAATTAAGCCCTATGTCATCTCCTAGAGCCCAACACCCAAGTATATTATATTTATATGGTTTTCCTTGCTCTATATAGTTGAAATGAAGTATACCAAGTTAACAAATCATCAATTGAAATATTATCATGTGTTATATGATTTATCAAGTTATTCAACACATGTACTCCTGTAAGTGAAGAGAAACAAGGGAGAAACATCCGCAGATATTACAGGATTCGTGCCTTGCATATCTCAGTGTCAGCAAGGTCGGCATTGTGCGGTGACAGATGTCAGACCACATAGCCACCATGCAACTTTTCACAGCATCTGCACCCAGTAAAAAGGTACATATTCAGTATGTTTATCTTACATTTTGAGTACAAATTAATAATTCTATAATGAAAAATTATTTTCTGGAAGTTTTATATTTTTTTGCGCATAGGCGGGTATGACCATTTTTCCATAGCCGTTGTGCAAGGGCTAATTCAGCAGGTATAGCTACCTTCATGAAGGATTATCTTGAGATGATTTCAGGGCTTAGCATCCTTTCGGCCCGGTCCTCGACCAGGCCTCCTTTTTGTTACACATCCCCAAGAAGCAGCCCATAGCAGCTGTCTAACTACCAGGTAGCCATTTACTGCTAGGTGAACAGATGCATCAGGGTGAAAGAAACCCTCGTCATTTGTTTCCACCTCCGCCGGGAATCGAACCCAGAACCTTCAGACTATAAATCCCAAGCTCTGTCCACTCAGCCGTCAGGCCCCCTTACACAAAGGAGGGAGCTAAGAATTAAGACCAGTTGCACTAACATCCCACATAAAAGTTTTTGAGTGTAATCAGGAGCCAGATTTCATGGGATCAATAAACTGTTTCAAGCATAGGTCAGGCATATATATGAGTAAGTTTGGGTGGAAATAAATAGGAGCCACATCATATGGGCAATAGGCCTTCTGCGATTTCCATAATTATTATGTTTCTAATTTCAGATTCTAATGTAAATGCAACCAAAATCATGGAGGTTCACACTAAATATTCATAATCAAAAGGCAAGGGGCAAGAGCTGAAGCTCATTCCATACCTATATATTTTGATAAGCACTTAAATACTCAAAAATAGGCCACTTACTCCAGGAGGCTGAGAGCCATGCACAGCGTGTCCTACAGGGCCAGGCATATCCCAAAGTGACTCGCCAGTTGCACGATTCCAGAAGTAAATTCTCTGCTCACGTTTGCTCCAGAATTTCCGCCACCCTGCTACCAGCATCTCAGGGGGTAGGTCCGTCTCATGTATGGGAGCCCCACTTGGTGGGGGACCACTCCCAGGTGTTTGGGGAGTTGGGGTGGTGGGGCCACTACTACTCACACTTCCCTGTTAATTAAATAAAGCTTATTTACTATCTATAAAAAAATCACACATCATAAAAAGAGAAGCAAGAAAAATAATAGTACTTATCATCACATTTTAGGTCATCATGCAAATTCTGGCAGTCTTCACAAATACCCTATCTAACCTGCTATATAATGAGACAGGTTGCACTATATTAACCACTGTGCTGCGCCAGCCGAGAAAACTTTGTCGGTAGGAAACTGCGCCAACCGAGAAAACACCTTTTGAATATTTCGTACCCATTCAAAATGTGCGCGCAGTAGGTTGTGTACGAAATGGACTCTTGGGACCTCCAGTGAGAGGCAGCCATCTTGGAAAAAATCCCAGAATGTCTGACAGCTGCTGGTTGAGTTAATACTGAGTGACCGACCATAGGTGGTGAACACGCTTCTGGCTCCCCAATACCTCTCTGACGCGGTGTTGAAAGATCGCTCTGTCGGTGAAATTCAGACCTTATTGTTTGAAGAACTTAAGGGTCATGATACCGATCAAGCTAGGCGCAATAAGAACCTAACACAAAGGTCGGATGCAAGTGATACAGCACAGATGAGGACGATACAGCGAGCATATCCAGTGGTAGCTCTGAGCTCCTCCCTTGCCCACCCATGTAAACTCCAATTTTCATAGATGATACATAGATAAATCGTTTTCTGGGTTCAATGATGATGCATCTGCTACAAGTAGCATAGATGAACAGTGTTAGCAGCTTCCATGGTGGTGTTTTCCATAGATATTTTCAGGAATAGCTGAATCTCTTCCTGACTGACTGAATCTCTTCCAGAGAGTGCCCTTACAAAGCGATCTTTTCAAGTCTTCCTTACAAACTGATCTTTTCCCTGTAATTTTTTCAAGACTACCTTACGCTTAACAAGCTTGGCCACATTCCACCTACAGGTACTAAAGCCAAGGGTGCACTTGATTGCGCTATTTGCAGGCACACAGAACGAAGAAACAGGAAGCGAAAATCTATCTGTACCTGGTGCAACGAGAACGAAGTCGCGGTGTGAACCATGGACTGCTTTTTGATTATCACTCATTCCCGAAGTACTGAGTGTGTAATAGTGTGTTACTGTGTAAAGAGAGTGTGAAACTGTACATATTGTAATTTTAGTTAATTTTTAACAAGTAATATTGCAACAAACATTCATTGTGGACACATTACTGACACATGTATGACAGTTCCATGGAACATTATGAACGTTCTACTGAATACCTGGTTGATGGGGTTCTGGGAGTTCTTCTACTCCCCAAGCCAGGCCCGAGGCCAGGCTTGACTTGTGAGAGTTTGGTCCACCAGGCTGTTGCTTGGAGCGGCCCGCAGGCCCACATACCCACCACAGCCTGGTTGGTCCGGAATTCACTGGTGCTATTCTGCATTTTCTTCCATATCGTTTGCTCCAGTACGTTGTTATTTTACTGTGTAGATTAGGGACCTGGCCTTCCAGTATTTTCCATGTGTATATTATTTGGTATCTCTCTCTCGTCTCCTTTCTAGTGAGTACATTTGGAGAGCTTTGAGACGATACCAATAACTAGGTGCTTTATCGCCTCTATGCGTGCCGTACATGTTCTCTGTATTCCCTCTATTTCAGCAATCTCTCCTGCTCTGAAGGGGGACCAGAGGGGGACGTGAGTACTGAGCAGTACTCGAGATGGGACAACACAAGTGACTTGAAGAGTACAACCATTGAGATGGGATTCCTGGATATGAAAGTTCTCGTAATCCATCCTATCATGTTTCTGGCTGACGCAATATTTGCTTGGTTATGCTCCCTAAACGTTAGATCGTCGGACATCATTATTCCCAAATCCTTGACATCACAAGGACATCACATCCTCGACATGCTGTTTGCCTATTATGGACACATTCGATTGTGTTTTGTACTCACCTGAGAACCTGGAATTTACCGCTGTTAAACATCATGTTATTTTCTGCTGCAAAATTGAAAACTTTGTTGATATCTGCTTGATATTGTAAATATCAATATCAATATTAATATTGATATTGTATTGTAATAGATATTGTAAAGGACACAAATATGCAGAATATACAATAAAAAAAAAAGATAAAACCACATTGGAAATACATAGAACAAATAATTGAAAATATATTTGTGGCAACATCCGGTGCTTGAATTTCCCGCATGACCAACTCTGGGAGCTTTATGCACAGGCGACCAGCCCATGATGTTGTCACAGCACCTTGTCCGTGTCCCCACAGCCAAAGTAAGTGGAATTTGATATATATATTTGATATATATTTTCACATAGACATGTTCAGGGAAGGGAATTTATAATTTTACAAAGAAAAAATATTTGGGGGGGGAACACTTGATTTCATAGGCACGGGGAATTTCACAATAAACTCGGCACATCACAGTGGTTAAGCTACATGAATAATTTATTACACATTTTAAAGCATATTAAATGTATATAAAGAAAAAACAACGTCGAATGTAATAAAAGGCCATTTTCTGGACGAGTCCCGGAGGCTCCCCAGAGCTATCCAGGATGATACGGATACCCTAACTTTTGGCATTAGTCGATGTGGGTGGAGTTCTAGGCCTACCGGGGACCACGAGCCAGAACCTGGCCCCCTCAGAGAGGCACAAGGAGCAATAGCCTATAGAAATGCACTGGTGATTTTGGAGCACTCTATATCTGCCATCGACCAGGACAAGCACCCAGAAAGGTAAGCGTCACAAAACAAACCCTTATTGTCGTGAAAACAATGAAAATTGACAAACGAGTGGACAGAACTTCCCAAATGAAAACGAGCACACAAGCACGACGTCATTCGTGGCTCGATGACGCCGCACATCTGTACAGCTCCCCCCCCCCTCCCCGGGAGGGGGAAGCCCCAAACCCCCTGCACTGGCAATCCACACACAAGTTCTGAGGCTGGATATCAAATTACACAAAAAACTGCCGACTGGAGGAAGGGAGGGTTGCCGGGGAGTCTCTGGCACTTGTCCAGAAAATGGCATTTCATTACATTCAACGTTGGTTTTCTGGGGGGAGCCCCTATGGCTCCCCGGAGCTACTTCACCAAAGACGAAAAGAAAGGGGACATACCCAGAAGGCGGTCGGAGCTCACATCTCAACTCTAAGTCGAGACAATTGGCTGCAACCGCCGACCCAAGGAGACACAGGCCCGACGAGGCCCAGGAACAGTCATGAGGAAACATGCAGCCAGGACCCTGTTCGACCGCAAAAAAAAAAAAAACCGTGCCCAAATGTCAACCCAAGACATGTTACCGAAGATGGATAATGATAGATTCAGATAGATAATGTAAACATTAGCAATAAAAATGATGGATAGTTTATTGGCCTATTCCTAGACAAGAGACTCAACTTCAGCACCCACATACAACACATAACTAAGAAAGTCTAAAACAGTTGGGATACTCTCCAAAATCAGATATTATGTACCTAACTCTGCTCTCATCTCTATATTATGCACTAATCTATCCCTATCTTAATTATGGTATCTGTGCATGGGGTTCAACCACTGCAAACCACCTCAAGTCCATCATCACCCAGCAAAAATATGCTATCAGAATAATAACAAATTCTGCTTTTAGACAACACTCAACCCCCTTGTTTAACTCCCTTAACATGCTAAACATAATCTAACTCCACAAATTTTCTTGTGTCAATTACATTTACAAAACCCTGTTCTTAAACGCAAATCCTGCTCTGAAACTCTCTCTGGACAGATGTAATAAGACCCATTATCACCACACCAGTTACAGTCTCCGTGGTGTAGTGGTAAGACACTCGCCTGGCGTTCCGCGAGCGCTATGTCATGGGTTCGTATCCTGGCCGGGGAGGATTTACTGGGCGCAATTCCTTAACTGTAGCCTCTGTTTAACGCAACAGTAAAATGTGTACTTGGATGAAAAAACGATTCTTCGCGGCGGGGATCGTATTCCAGGGACCATAGGATTAAGGACTTGCCCGAAACGCTACGCGTACTAGTGGCTGTACAAGAATGTAACAACTCTTGTATATATCTCAAAAAAAAAAAAAAAAAAAAAAAAAAAAAAAAAAAAAAAAAAAAATAAATATCTCTTTGATATCCCCAGAGTCAAACTTAATCTGTGCAAACACTCTATGCAAATAAAGGGACCCAGTCTATGGAACTCACTCCCTAATGAATTGAAAAGCTGTCCAACTTCTGTGTCATTCAAAAACAAAACTAAAAAGTACCTAATCTCATCTGCATAGTTTTTTTTTTACCTTGTTGCTTTAAAATTGCACTGTATCTATTGCTACCCAATCTCCCTATCTTTATGTGCCCAATACGAACATCTTTACCATTGTGATCATTGCTGTCTTCTTACATGTGCTATCAATCTGCTGTATGGTGTCTGTTAATCTGTTTAAATTACCATTCAAGTTGTCAATGTAATCAACCAGAGCTTTAATATACCAATGTGCTTTAATATACTTACTATTCTCTCTCATCTCATTTTTTTTTCTTGCAATGTATCTGTTATCAATTTATTAATTCTGCTAGAATTTACCTACTTAAAATTATCTGTTAGATTAAGGACTTGCCCGAAACGCTGCGCGTACTAGTGGCTTTACAAGATTGTAAATACTATGCGATGTATTCTCTCTAACCCAATGTACCTTCTTGTATATAAATAAATAAATAAATAAAAAGATGGCAGCAAGAGCAGCAAACTTACGAACGTCATGGGCACAGAGAAAGACCGCAGGTGGGCTAGACTTAAAAACCCTGCAGACGACTTGAGAGACTCGTACCCGCGAACAGGGAAGAAGAGAAACTGGATCAACCCAAAGCGCGTCCCCGAACACAGAAACCGTGTAGCGCAAATAACGGGACACGGCCTGAGCAACCAAGCATCAACCCAAAGACCCCTTAGGAAAACAGCAGACTCATTCCTTGCCAGAAAAGAACGAGACGGCTGAAAACGAACAAGAAAAAGCTTTGGAAAACTAAACCTGAACCG